TGGGGTCACTGACCTTGGGCAATTGCATGACACCCTGATCCACTGTGCATCCCAATTTTTCCCGCCGCCCGCAGGACAGCATCGGCTGGCACTATGGCAAACACCGCCTATGCAGGATGGTATTCGCTCCATGTGGCAGGCCTACCGAGTCTGGAAGACAGCCAAAGCTCAAGATCAGCACAATCCGCTTTATGTCTCCAGGTGCTATCATCACTTCAAGACGGCACACAAGGCCTTTCGTCGTGCCGGGAAAGAAGCCAAGAAGCACTGGTTCCATGGCAGGCTCCAGGAACTACAGGCTGCTGCCAGTTCAGGTGACTCCCGCAAGCTTTATGCTGGCATTCGCACACTAGCTCCCAAATCCTCCAAGCCGAAGGTTCAATTGCGAGATTCTGGTGGACATCTGCAAGACCCCAAGACCCAGCTTAAACAGCTGGAAACGCACTATCGCAAATTATATGCTGCAGACGAGGACACCAGCATCCAGGGCCCCCAGCGGACGCCCATTCACATTGAAGTCACGGAGGCAGAAATGACCCTGGCACTCTCGCAATTGTCCCACAAAGCTACACCTCCGCATCTAGCCACAAACTCTCTATGGAGGCTGACCTCGGACCTTGTTGCGCCTCTCTTGTGCCAATGGTGCCGGCAATGGCCTCAAATACCTGAGCTTTGGCGAAATGCATGGTTGACTCTTGTTCCCAAGATTCCACGACCACTTTCACCAAAGAATCTCAGACCGATAGGGTTAACTGAATCCAGTGGCCGCGCATATGCTTCCATACTGCAGGCGAAATTGCGCCCCTATGCCGAGAGGTTCCTTGCGGATCAGGCACAATTTGCATATTTGCCAGGTCGCAATGCTGCCCAAGCCATACATCGGGTTGCTGCACACTGCAAATATGTCCAGGATCGCTGCTCGATTTCAACACCTACGGTTGTTGATCGTCACGCTCAACAGCCGAAACCCTGCCCACATTTTGCAGGTGCACAACTATCGCTGGATCTGTCCAGTGCTTTTGACCTCATGGACTGGCGCCTGCTGGACAAGGCTTTACTTGCGTCCGAAGTTCCGGCTGAGCTAAGACACCAAATCATGTCCTGGCACTCTGAAATCTCCTATGTCCTTACCCACCTTGGACACACTGCCAAGGTGGAGGCCCAAAGAGGACTTAGACAAGGGTGTAAACTGGCTCCGTTGCTCTGGACCCTAGCCCTGGCACAGATATATCGTGAGCTTCTTGCCGAGGGGGACCCGCTCCTCACAGCACCTTGGCTAGAGCAAAGCTCCACGATTTATGCAGATGATATACACCTCAAGGATACTGTGCAGACTACTCGTGAGCTGGACGACATGGTGTATCGCTTTAGTAAGATCCTCGATGCTCTTGCCGCCTATGGAATGGTCATCAACTCGGCCAAATCAGCATTGCTACTGAGACACAAGGGCAGTTTCATCAGAGGCTGGCTGCGCCGACACCTCATACCCAAACCCGAGGGGGATCTACTCCGTTTTCGCAGCCCCCTGGGAACGGTGTATGAAATTCCGTTGCGTGACCATCACACGTACTTAGGCATACGCATCTCATATCATTCACAGGCCAAACAAGCAGTCACCTATCGGCTACAGGCTGCGAACCAGGCCTGGCAAAGACTCCGTGGTGTACTGTGCTCCACCAGGCATCTTGCTCAGACACATCGTCTCAGTCTATGGAAATCCACAGTGCTTCCCACGCTGCTATATGGCATCGCGGCATCCAACCCAGGTGCCAAGGACATCCAGCGTATGCAGCACATGATGACCAAGCAGGTTCGAGCCATCACCCGATCCTTTGCACATCTTCAGAAAGAATCCACACAGGACCTTTTGCACAGATGCTCCCTGTCCACCATCTTGGAGCATCTGCAGAGGGAAGCCGCTGCCTTGCATCGTAGTCTGACCAGCCTGAGCACTGACACGAGCTTCGTGACCCAAGCCCAGGTGGAATCAGCTCGAGACACTGCCGCTACACTCCACCTTCAAGTGCAACGTCAATGGCAGGTACCTCTTGGGGACACAGAAGGCATCACTGACCCTGCCGTACACCAGTGCCAGGAGTGTCATCGGGTCTTTACCTCCTTTCGGCTCCTCCGCTCTCACGAGGCTAAGTGGCATGGACTCAAAACACCTGCTGCTGTCCCGGTGCCTTTTGACAGGTATGCACATGGAACAGAAGGACTTCCAACGTGCAGACACTGTGCCCATCCCTTCCGACAATGGGACGGCCTCGTCAAGCACATTAAACGCAATCGGTGTCAGGTACTCCGTAAACTTGCTACACAACCTCCCGCCGATGCCCCACCCTTGGCTCCGAGCTCCAATGAATCCGATCCTTTACCAGTCCCTGCCCCGGCTATCCTGCCACCTCAGGACCTCTCTCAGGGGACCCACATCCTGTCAGACGATCAGGCTGCTATGCCCCCTCCTGCTCCTGCCGTTATACCTGAACCCCCTGTCTTAGACGCTCCCCTGCAGGACAGCTCCACTACGCCGAGCCATGAGGCTGTTCCTCTTCATCAACAATCTCATGTTCTTGAGACACTACGTGCACGCAGGTGGACTGACCTCCTTGAGAAACCGGAGATCTACTCGTATCTCCAGCACCACTGCCCGCTGTGTTACCAGTGGCTAGCCACTCCTACCAGCATCAAGTATCATCTCACCATGCAACATCCAGAGTGGAAAGACTGCCAACCTGCGACTCTCAAGCTTCTCACTGGTTTCCGCCGACATACTGTTGTTCCATGTCGCTACTGTCATCAGCGAAACATCAACAAAGATCGTCATTGGAAACAGTGTCATGTCTTGCATATCTGTGCATTTCTAGCAGCGCACCATGACGCTCGGCGCGGATCCCATGGAGCTGGACGAACAGGAGAGGCAATTTTGGGCCCAGGCCGGTCCGGTCAAACGGGAACAGGAACCGAGAAGAGATGTGCTGCATCAAACCGAGCACTCCAAGAGGCAGCGTCTGGCACCACAGGACCGGAACAAAGGCAAGGGCAAGGGTACCAAGGGCAAAGGCAAGGGAAAGCAGGGCCTACCAAGTCCATCCAGTGCCAACCCGGTCACGGGTTACACAAATGGTTTCGGAAGCCATCCACCCAATCCCTGGACACAGACTCAGGACCTGCAGCCACTGGGAAGTCAAGATCCAGACTGGATGGAGTACAGGATGAATCGACTATCTCAGCTGGTTCTTCGTCAGGAGCAAATTATCTCAGCCATCCGACAGGATCTGGTCCTCTACCTCTTTGTACGATCAGGGCCAGAAGGGATGGTACCAGTTCTCTGCGAAGCAGCGGAGAAGTGGAGGAAGATGAAAGAGGAAGAACCCGAGAAGATTACTTACTCCCTCAAACTCATGCTCTTCAAGCAGCTGCTCATCACCCTACACCAGAGGTTGACCAACATGATCGCGGACGAGGATGCTCTCGCCAAAGCCAAGAACCTGAACTGGATCGACGATCAGAAACATTGGAAACATCTTACATGGAATCCTACCAAACAATGTCTGGAAGTCGACAACTCGGTGAGGCCAATACCGGCGGAAGATCTGTTGGCTCAACTGGTTCAGATGAGGAAGGCAGTTACGGAAGAGACCCTGGTGAGGTTCAAGTCCATGCGGAAGCTCACCACGGAGGTGACCTCCGACTGGATTCAATTCCAGATCTGCATGTCACTTCGCCCAGAGGGAGGAGCCATGTGGAGCACGCTGAACCAGTGGATCGGACAAGCATCGTGGCACACCCTGGGATGCAGGCTCCGTCGCGATCGACCGAACTACGACACCCTGGTCCAGGAAGTGTGGCAACATCAGATGCCATACTGAGTGCGCGCCCTAGTCTCAAGGCTGTCCTTCGATTGATTTTCCACAATCCATCAAATCTGTGCTACCTACACTCTACCATCTATGCCCTTCTGTGGACAATCCTTCAGGCTAGGCTGCATGATGCCTACGTCTCGCCTCCACCGCAGGCTCTTACCATGCTGTGTCCACCAATCACTGCCACACCTAATTGCCCCATTCAGGTGCTCCATTCGGTACCGTGGCTTATGCTGCTGCAAGCTTGGCCTTCTGTACATCGTCAGCATGATGCAGCTGAGCTGTTACAATACCTCTTACCCAGGTTCTCGCATAGTGGGTTCAATGGTGGCTGGGAGGCCAGAAACTTCGTACCTGGAGGTATTGCCACTCTTGACAAGGGGCCTACCCAAGCTCCCATCCCGATTGCGCTACCGGCAGGTCCAAGCTTGGAGCTCCAGGCAGCCATTGATGGGTGGAGTGCTCAGGTTACAGCCCGTTATGCACTGCTGACTCCGTCTCCCATGCTCTGCATACAACTTCAGCGCTTCACAAACGCCGAGGGAGTCATGCGCAGGGACACCAGACCACTGGTTGTGGCCTCGACTACAGTTCGTATGCCACTCTTTACAGGTCTGCACACTATGCAAGTTCGCTATGTTCACTACCAGGTCGTCGCTGTACAGCTTCACTACGGGGCCACTCCTGATATGGGGCATTACAGAACTATCCTACGAGGACAACCGCTGTTTGGAGCAGAAAAGTGGTGGATCACTGATGACTCCTGCACCGCAAAGCCAGTCAGCACAGAACACGATGACAACATATACATAGTGTGGCTACGTCAGGTACTACCTCCTGGTGCCTGATGCTGAGCAAGTGTAGTCTTAGTCGATGGAGCTGGCACTGCCCTCCAGAACCCAAAAGAGGTTCCGATACCCCGAAAACCGGGTTATCGTCAGCTCGCTAGGCGAACCCGGACACTTCGCTGCGTGGTGAATGAATACTACTGCTACTACTACTACTACTACTACTGCTACTACTCCTGCCGCCGCCGCAATTCTTGCCGCCAGTAATCCTGCGGCGGTTACTTATGGCATGACAGCAACTGCCAGAACTTGCTACTTCATCTTGTGTTCGTTCGCAGTGTCGGAGGCTGCCTGTCGCAAGGGGCCCCTGTGCGGTGAGATCATCGCCGAGATTAAGGCTGGAAAGTGAGACTTCATGCAGCATCACACAGGGTTCGTAATCTACCTGTCATGCAATGTGTTTGCACGGGTTGAGCTTCGATCTGGTTTTTTCATTGTTGGCTTTCCCCACAGAGCTACCTAGTTGAAGCTTGCCTGGAGGGCAGTCTGAGTCTGGCAAACATGATGCCAAACGCACCAATGACCACCATAACTTCGCAGGAAGCTCGCAAGCTGCCGTTTCGGAGCCGAGAGCCTGCACCTGGGTGCGGAAGGTCAAAGTTTTGCGATGTGACGGGTTTGAGGATTTTAAAAGGTTTTGGTGGGGCTTTCAGACACTTCTCCTCATGGGACGAAGGATCGGCGCCGGATTTTCGAGCTAGCTCCCGTGAGCTCTCACATGTTAGTTGAGTAGAATGAAAGCGACGACACGTGCTCCGGTTCGAGTGTGTTGATGGAGAGCGAGGAATGGTTTGTGGAGCTCTACACCTCCAAGTTCTCCTAGACAGCCAGAGCTGTGCGAGGAATCAGAGAAAAGTTGGGCTCGAATATCTCTTGTCAGGTGCCAGAACTGCTGCACACGAGATCTGAAAGGCTTAGATTTGTGACATCTTGTTCGTATTGCTACCAATGGTTGCTTCGTTTTCGTCTGCATGTGGATGGTTGGGTGGCTTTGACTTGTTCTTATTGCATGATCCACTGCTCAAAACGTGTGATTCAGCAAGAGCAAGCTACATGCCCCACCCCAACTTACAGCCACCCATCACCACTAGCTACAGGTTCGCAAGCAAACCGTTAGAAACACGCACTGTGATCACATACAGCATACACATGTTCTGTGCATTGCGGCAGCCTGTCATGAGGCCGGGTCGCCGAAAGATGCAAACAGGGGGAGACAGAAGCTACCGTCGGTGCCAAACTGCCGTTCACCTTGGCTACTCGGAGCCCTTCGTTACGCAGGCCTGCGCAGACCACCTTGCGTGTTGCTGCCGTGCCCCCGGTTAGGAAGGATTTATTGCAAGAGACGAGACGAAACGCTGAGGCGGAACTTTTCTTGCTCTTGCTTTGGATTTGGGATGCCAAGGCTGCACGCCTAGCCGCGTCGCGACTGCGAGCCATCTGCCTGCATTAAGACTATATGTGATTTCAAGCTCTTTTCGGCAGTTTGCGCTTCACCTCTCGAGGCTGCCCCCTGGTGCAACTTCCGCAATGGAAGCAGCATGGCGCAGGAGCACCTTAGCGGTACAAGCTTCGGAACGGGAAGTGGTCTGGCGAAGAGACAGGCAGGGAGTCCTGGCCTTCACCTCTTTCAAACCTGGCAGAGAAAGAGATGGAGAGTGAGGCAACTCCCCAAAACAGCCCTGGCGAAAGAAGGAGAAAGAGGCGTTCTGCAGGTAGAAGTTAAACGGCAGATCCACAGACAGAACAGTCTTTATCATAGGTCGTTGTGAAAACAGGGAGCAGCCGACTGATGGTTTGATGAAAATTGTGCAGCCCAACTATGGCCTTACACGGGCTGTATCATACCCGGGCGAACAGCTCTGCAATCCAAGTAGGAGGAGATCACCAAAAGACCACCAGAAACCCCAAGACACCCCCAGGAGACCAGCAGCAAACGGGGCAGAGACATCGCAGGCTAGTTTCAAGCGCCTCAGCCAAGTCCGAAATGCGACAAAGCACCACCGTCCGTGACAAGCCCACGAAGCTGAGGAGAAGAAGCAAAGCGAAAAAGAGGGGTTAGCATCAATCGTCAGACAGAAGGGTTGACTGACGGTCCACTGACGGTGGAACGCATGCACTCCTGACCGTAAGTAGCATGCTTCCTTTTGCCCTCGAAACATCGAAACGCGCTTGGGTTCTGCTCCGAGGGATAGCCTCGTTGCTCTGCCATAAGCGATATGGCAGGAGCAAGCTTCCAGCCCATCATTTTCAATGCCTGCGGCCGCATCTGCTGAGCCCACCAGCCAGGCAAAGGCACGGGTGACAGAGCTGGAGTAGCCACTCTGTGCAGGATTTACGACATGTCTTGAAATGTGATGATTTACTAGCCTGGGTCAGGTACCGGCCTCCGTGGAGGACGCGAGTGTAATCCACGAGTAATCTTGATACTAGGGATCGTACAGACACCCTACGACAATGTAACCGGAAATTGTTCAGGACATGCTTCCGATGTGGATGCGTAGCTAGGGTTTGACAGCCTGACAAGCCAGGCACACTTCGAAGCAGAAGCTGCTGCTCAAGACACAGCTCTCATTTGACGTAAATGTGGAATGGCGATGTGTTCCCAGAGCAGGATCTTGGAGCGACGATCTTCAGCCCAACAGAAGAACATCAGGCCAGTCCGGTATACCTTGCCTTGAGACAAGTGCTCTTGGACTTCCGCATGCCGGGCTCTTCCGTCCCAGGCCCTGCGGGAGATGGTCAGGTCCTTCGCAGAGGCGGAAGTCGAACCGCAGGCGGCGTGGGCTCTCGGAGCCCAGCTTCGAACCTGAGCGCCACATGGTCTCCCCGCGGTCCAGGCCATAGATTTCAATCGTGAAGAAAAGATGAACCTGCAGCCGGCTCGGGCTTTCCTCGCAAGAGAGAGCTCATCCCTAGCCGCTAGCTTTCCTCGTCAAGGCCACTCTTCCGAAAGTTGGGTGAGCTGGGCCTCCTTGGCGTCACGGTTCCCGAGGCCAGACCGCGGATCAGCGTGAGCTCTCTTTTGGGACCATGCTTTGCACACGTTTAGTCCGAGGAATATGGGGGCAGTGGCATGGATGCCACGGCGGCTGTCATTGTCCACGAGGACCCTGGAGTCGCTGAGGTGGCGAGAGTCCAGCCAGTGTGGCCAGGAACTGGCTGCAGTGGATCCTGCCTTCTGCCTGGCGTACCTGGCGCCCCTGTTCTGGCTGTTCTCGTAGACAGGTTTAAGATGTGCACGCCTGTAGACAGACGTGAGGCTGAGATCGAGAGAATTTCACAAGCGCTCTGGATCCATGTGCTTCACAGCGTGTTTGGCTAGAGGGTGTAGCGCAGGCGCACAGCATGTTGTTCGTGAACAACCTTGCGCAGAACGGCAACGAGGTCTCTTGTTTTGAGGGGTTTGTGCCGTCTCTTCTGCGCAGCTCTGGGAAGAGCACCGGTGTTGTGTGGTACAAGTACAAGTACTGGATGGAAGCTTGAGACTGCACGTCCTAGTGATTTGTGCACTGCAAAGCTTTGTCGTCCCACGCGAAGGCTCAGAAGCAGAAGTGGCTGCCCTCTGCTGTCGACGGCTCCAAGGTTTGCGGCATGCCCGCTGCCTAGCGCTTCTCTGTGAAGATGTAAGACTGACAAGCACGTCTCTGTCTCTCCGCGTCTCTGAGGTGCATGTCGGAGCCAGCTGCTCGGGCCCCAGGCATGGCGTCTGTACGCCACTGCTACTGGTACTGTATGGTGGCGCTTGCATCTGCCTGACTGCATGAGCTGCTCAGCGTACAGCCTAGGGCCTAGGACTTCTTTCCTTGAGGTTGGCACTGATGTGCTGGGCATGAAGACGACTGCAACGCGTGAGGGCGACGAGTGCCTTCCTCAGGGAAGCAGGCTTTCCGTTTCCATCGGCCGGGGACAACTGCAGGTTCACGACTCGAAGTAGCCCCATACTTAAGACTTATATGTAGGCAGGAAGAGGTTCGCACTACACGTAGAATTGTGTATGGTCCTGTCTCCTTGGCTCCATAGCGGCAGCAGTGATGTTGGGACACAGTTGCATCAATGTTGCAGGTATGTCATTAACGGGGCCAAAATGTGGATCACAAATGGCACCGTTGATGGGAAAGAGACTGGGGATGCCTACCTTGCTGGAGCCCTGAGATGCCAGGGAAGGCACCTTGCCATGCCCCTGATGGATTGCCACGAGTGAGCAGTGTCTCAGGTCTATGCACGCACAGGCAGCACCAGCAGGGATATCTCCCTCTTCCTGGTTGAGAAGGGTACGAAGGGATTCTCCTTGGGACAGAAGATCCAGGCAGGTTTCCCCTTTTGTGTGAGACATCCGTGACCTTGTTGCGGCCCTTGCGGCCCTTGCGTGGAGGACAAGTGCGGGATGCGGGCGTCCATGACGGCCGAGTTGGTCTTCCAGGCGCCGACCGGGGGCGGCCGCCTCCCCCTTGGCTTCTGCTCAAAGCCTCTCCTCTTTGATGCGCTCGAGGACTGCCGCGTTCCGGCCGCTCACTTGGTTGGCCAGGAAGGCTGTGACGGGGGGGGACGGTCGTTTTTGACATGTGCCTTCGATGGTCACTGCAGGCAAAGCTGCGCTGTGCATGATGCGGAATCTGGAGATTGAGAGAGTGCCAGGCTTAGCACATTCCGGCCGCTGCCGCACCGGGCAGGGTTCTTTTTTCTGCGAGAATTGAACAGATACATCATTGCACCGGGTCCGTTGCATTCATCTCGGGCATTCATCTCGGGCTCTGCTACACTTTGTGGCTTGCGGCAGCAGGCACGCAAGGCACCACGAATGCAGCAACAGGGCCCGTGCAAGGGAGTTATAGCTGCGCTCCCAAGGTCGCGCTTGCGTCGATGAGCCTCGGCATCGCTCGAAGGTGTGTTGAAGAGATGAACAGGCGCCGCACTTCTGGTGCTTCGCGTCTGCTATGCCATGGGGCCATCAGTTGTAGTGGGATATGTCTCCCCTCCAAAGGGGCCACGATCTCGCAAGTCACTGAATTTGCTGCTGCAGAACTTCTCTGAGACACCGACAGGATGCTTCTGACACAGCATCGGTCGCCTGCTCTTGGATGTGCCAGGTATGCCAAGGACCGCAAGGCCTGACAGAGCCTGGCGGTGCTTAGCGACCTAGAACGAGGAGCAGTGGCCTTCGCCCATCATGTGCCACTGGCGGATGCGAGGCTGCTCGTCGTTGTTCCGGCAGACCTGTTGCAGGCCTTCGGTTCACAGCTGAACAGCTTCGGCCAGATTCAGCGTTTTATCGCTGAGTCCTATGCGGAGTACCAGGTACGAGCCTCCTGCGAATGAAAGTTTCACAGCTGGTGTCGGCTGTGAGGCAGGCCGCAGTTATGTGTACCAGACGGCCAAGCACCTGAACCTTGAGTCTGTAGGACCGATTGTCATGCCGAGGTTGTTTGTGGTGAACACTTGGAATGGTTGCTAGGGGGTGCAGTGTCCTGACAAACCTATGTTGCGTCTTCTCTTGCCTCTTGTTGGAGCCTCATGTCGAGGCAGTCCATTCAGCGAAAATTCCCAAGCCTCTGTTTATAAAGGAAGCTGATCCATTGTTCTCAGTCCGTTCCATCCATACAACTTCAAGCAGAGGTATCTGCACACGACCTTGACGCATGATGGTGAGGAAACGGCTTGGATGCCGACGGGGTGAAGTTGTACTGCGGCCACATGGGCAAGATGGTGGCCGACCGTGCGATTCAGGTCGCTGCAAGATGACGGGGACATTCCACTTGTAACCACGGTTCTCATCATGTCTCGAAAATGCAAGTAGGTGCATGTCAGGGTTTCGATTCCGAGAGTGATCTTGTGGTCTGCAGGTCTTGGGCGGATATGGTTACGTTGGTGAGTACAACGTGGAGCGTCTTTGGCCATGTCCTCAGCCTTACAGGCATGGACCATGGATTCCTGGCTGAAGCAAGTAGAGAGGAGAGAGACCGTTGGTTTTACTCCCAGGCGCGATGCCAAGCTCCTCGAGATCGGAGGCGGCACGAATGAGGTGCGCAGCTCCAGTACCAGTGCCGTGCTCCTCCGGTCTAGGCCCATACAGGCCTTAAAGCACTGTTCGTGTTTCTCTTCGTGAGTCACTCCGTGTGTCGCAAGGCGCACCACAAGAACATCGTGCGAGATCTCTCGCGACAGGCGACGACCTTCTTGGACTCTGCTAGTGTAGCATGCAGACGCGGAGGTGGTAGCACGTGGTTGCAGCATCTCTACCGTCTGTTTCCACTTCCCGGGGCGCGATGCGCCTTTGGCTCCTCGCGGCTCACAGCGCGCCGGCTGCCTTGTGGCGCCCTTGAGCCAACGTAGGATTCTGTTCTATCAGTCTAATCGAAAATCTGTTGAAACATGCTCGAATTGCGCGCAGTATTCGGGTTCTGACGGCACACTAGAAGCTAGCTGAGTCAGCTGCATGCCCCAGTCATGAAGAATGTGGCCAAACTTCGACAGACAACTGTAGCCTCGTCGGCTTCGGGAGACATGGCGAAGCCAGAGGCCAGCGGTATCACTCGGTCATGCGGATCAGGTAGCTGGTGTCGGCGCCCAATGGTCACACGGCATCGTCAAGACTACTCGTGTTTCGTGCCTGTGAGGCATGAAGGAGGGGTCTGCCGCCAACAACTTCGGCTATGCGCTGATAGCATGGGCCACACTGGGCTTCTCGGGTGGAACTAGCGCTTCCGCAGTCAGGACACTGGACCCGAGTGTCGAAAATTCGTCCCAGGCTTCCTGCATGGGGGCCACTGGTGGGTGTTCCCCTGCCTTGCATCTGAACAGGATGCGGGCCAGGACTGCAAGGGGCTACTGTGTGCAAAAATCGAAGCAGACCGTGTCCCTTTTGCTGGCACTGAAGTCACTAAAGGAATGGCTTTGTCGATGGCACGCGGTTTCCTACATCATTGGCATCTTCGTGACGGCCGCAGGCCTGCCGGCATGGCGCACTTCAACTCATGACGCACTCTGAGCCTCGAGCTAAGCAGCTAGGTGGTGGCTACTGCCAATCGGGAACGGCTCGACAATGCCCGGGCGGCGAGGACATGAGCCTCGGCCTTCTCAGGTGACCATGAGCTGACACTTTTGCTAAGAAGGCCTCAGGTCTTTTTTTTCTTATATCGCTGGATGCCAAGGAGTCCGGACTGTCTGTTCACGGAGCAGACGCTTGCGTACCAGGTCATCTACATCCTTCATTACATCGGGCTCGCGTGGAATTTTGCCCACTGGATCATGGATGGATTCCACCTCTGGCCAGAAGCCCAGACTAAGACCCCGAAGCCATTGCCTTGGCCACTCGCAGTTCCAGGTCCTGGTCGAAGCAGCTTGCGCATGCACAGCAGATGAGGCTCTGTTTGTTTAGATACAGACTTCTTGTTTCTTTCGCTCAGCTCTCCAGACACGCTGTCATGCAGTAGACAATCCTTGTGCCGAAATGCTTTTTTAGAAAGTGTTAGGACTGTTAGGATGGATTAGGGCCTAGGGATCTTTCGATATCTATGAGTCTATGGTTAGGGGATGAAGCTGTGCTTGCGGCCAGCAGGCTCCTTGCGACCGATGCGTCTCTCAGACACTGGGCCTGCATCTCTGAGAACTCAGGAAGCCGAGCATGTGTACGTACATACATATAGCATGTCTGTATATCATAGTGTACTTGGAAAGAGATATGACCAGACTGACAAGAACTACGCAGCTATTCGTGACTCAGGTAACGCATAAACTGCTGTGTCCCAGGATGGCTCTACAGCTTTATTGTATGGTTTGCGGTGATGCTGGCCACACTAACCTGGACGAGCCTTGGCTGTGTTTTTTTGGATCGTAGATCTGGAGATCCACCCCTGACCTTTACTCTCTCTCTCTCTCTCGCATGTCAGCCTCTGACCAAGCGGGTGAATCGCTTGTTGCTTGTTCCTTTCTCCTGCTTCGAGGGTTTCCGCCTGTTCGTCCCAGGGAGGGCGTTGTTCTGGTCTCTGTGAACTGCAGAGATCCGTGTATTCCCTGGACATTCTGTCAGAGTATCGTAGGATGTATCCTTTTGTGTCGGGTGTGTGTGGCCAAACCTCGGGCACAGAAAATGCCTGAAGTTCACAGGGCGTTGCATTAGGAGGTGTTGTCGAGGCATGACCTGAAGAGTCCTCCGCAGTTGTGACAAATCTGAGGGTTCTCTTCCAGTGGACAACTGGGAACGCAGAACAACCTAGCACTTTGAATACGCTGGCCGGCATCCTCCTCATGGAAACTTGGCAGATACTTTGCTGTACTGTGCTCTTCTACAGCTTTCGAGCCTACAACGAGGCGCGTCTCGCCGTCAGTACCAACTGGAGAGTCTCTCGAAATTGTTTCGGGCAGCGAGACAGCATCCATCCGTGCATTCATATAATTCTACAAGCCCTAGTAGAAATCCATCTATAAAGCCGAGGTAACTCTTCTACAAACCCTTCTGCAAGCCGGTCGATAAACCGTTTTACAACCCTCGACCGGCTCCATTTACTGGCAGGTTCAAGAGTGCTCACGAACCTCATATGAAATTCCATGCCAAGCAGACTCACGACAACCTGTGAGACAGCGTAGCATCAACAGCACCATATCATGCCATCTAAACAATGCCAGAACATCGTGCCATCCGAATAATAATTCACGAGAAAGGTTTCGCTACCCCAGCCTAGAAGCCTGGCGCTCCAGTTTCTGAGGAGTTCATTGTGGTGCTTCTTGTTTCCTGTCGGGGTCTTAAAAGATCCGCAGACCCTTGGAAGGACGGAGCACCCTGGTGCGTAGGTTTCGGCTACACAGCCGTGATGTAAGGGTGCGCGAGCTCGGCCAAGGCCTGGCTGTGAGAGCTCGGCATCTCCTCGCAGTGCAGACGGTCGCGGCTGGCGGAGAGAAGCAATGAACGCCGCTTCACTGCATCTGTTGAATCTTTTGCACTTGGGCCTCGAAGTCTCCCTTTTGATCGGAGCGACTCTTCTCTGTGCTGGAGCTGGAAACTCAGGGAATCTCGGCCTCCCAACCAGTGACGGCTGGCCGGAACTTGCTCGTCGTGGAATGAACCTCAGTGGCCCTTGGACGCCAGTAGTCAATTCTCCAGCACATTTCCCTGGGGGGTTCGTTGCGAAGCAACCACCCTGTGGGTCAACGCTGGTTTTCCGGACCGAGTGACGAACAGCAGACGGTCAGGCAATCATGCTGTGAGCTGCCTGCATCTGCAACAAGCCATGAAGCCATCTTCTGGCCGTCCCGAGCAAGACTGAAACACGCAAAGGAAAGGAGCTACGAAACAGCTGATGATGATGATCATGATGATGCAGATACTACAACGTTCTACTACTGCTGCTACTGCTACGATGCTTCTACTACTCAAGACTTCTGAATTCCGTGGTAAGAAGAAATGGTTAGCTCCGCAACCATCGCCGCGAAATGCTAGAAGCGCAATAAACGCAGGACGCATTCTTATTTCTTGTCACCACATTGATCAAAAGGGGCCGGTTGTATTCGCAACAGGGGTGAGAAGCATACGTAAGACTGGTAGTGACACAAACAGCAACAGCTTTCATTCAAGTCCTTTGTTGATTGGCTTTTTCGGCCGTTTTGCAGGCTGTTTACCTGGGGTTGCCAGGTTTTTGCGTCACTGCCTTGCAGATCTTTCAGGCAATATGGCGGGCTGTGGTAGAGAGCAGCTTCCTCCGTGGTCAGGAGTCATTGTAGGAGACACTGATCGAGGGGGCTTTTCTTGTAGGCCTAAGCTCGCACTGCCAAATTCGCATCGAAAGCTTGGACAACAGTTGAGTCGTCGTATATCTTCATTGCCCTAGCTGGTTTCACTGCATTATGCTTTGTTTCTTTGGAGCTGTTGACGATGAATGATGGCGATGATGTTGATGGTGCTGACGTTGATGTTGACTCTGACGAAAGTTCTCGGGCCGATGGCGTGGGCATCATCATCGTCACTTTTCGATCTCCCGAGTTTCAAGGAGTTTGCATAACCCAGTATTGCCATGTATGCGTCCAAAGTCTCTCCAACGTTGCCTCTGTGGCAGGTGGACAAGCTGCCCTGATGTCTCGAGATCGATTAACTTTGTGCCGGCCTTGTTCACTCGGTGGGTGGGTTGGTAGACGAGGCAGGTGAGTGCGGATGTGTTCGTGAATATGCATATATATATATATATAATATACATATATATATATATATATATATGTACATATATATATATATGTATATAGACATGAAAACTGTGTCTATTTGCATACTATCGCAACTGCTTGGCTGATCTGGACATCGTAAGCTGCAGCGACTGCCAAGGTTGTGCATAGCTCTGCACGCCGGCTTCTGCAGAGCGCTCAGCCAGTTTTCACGGAGACTGCACGGTAGTTTCCGGCTACCCACAAGACCTTGACGGCGCCAAGGCTGGTCTTGCCCTGCCACGTCCGCTCTGTGAGGTGTGCTGGGTGTGCTGGTGCTCTTGAACAGATTCGGGTTCGGGCCTGGTTGTCGCATGGAGCCTTCCAAGAGCCCGCAGTCACTTGTAAAGTAGCCATGAAAAAGCGCAGGGCCAAGCCGCGCAATCATTGCTACGGCTCCGTCGTTCTTGAGCCAGTTTCATAGCATTTCATAAGACAACATGATTCAAACCTCGCCCGATGCCCGACCACGAGCTCGCATGGGCGAGCCAGCACCTTGGGCAGGTTCAGGCGGGTTTTGCGCTTTCTTTGGATAGAATGACATGCATCGCTGCTCCTTCTGGTGAGCTGTCGTCGGCACCCGGTTGAAACCTGCCCGAAGAAGCCTGTGGCCGTTTGGTTGCCTGCAGCCCTGGCCCTCGCTGACAAGATTGAGTGGCTTGCGATTGGCTTGCCTATGGACTGTGCGTTTTTTGTTTGGATCGGCATCTTGTCGCCGGGACAGAGCTGCGAATTCGTTGCATTTTGGATCCACGCCGTGGGCACCAGCCCGTTGGCCCGTTGGCAGCCGGAACGCCGAATGCGCGTGTAGCCGGACCGTGGGCGTACCGGAAAGACTGCCTGATTATCAGAAGGCGGCTGTGTAGCACGCTCCACTTTGGGTTTTCTGGTGTGGTTCCTTTTCCACAGGCATCTCATATCTTTTAGCACCGGTTCCTGCTTGACGCCCCTTTTTTTGGTACAGGCTTGCAACTTGTGTGATGCAACGCGGCTTACCTTCGGCTCAGGCAGTGAATAGGAATAAAGACCCCCCAGCAGGTCTTGGTGTCAGCCACTGCGACGTATCCCAGAGAGTTTCGACCTTTCTCAAGGCCCTTCGCTTGAAAAGTTTTCTAAAGATCTTGGATGACTGTTGGAGCCATCTGCCGTCGGCTCCATGGCTGGACTTTTGGCGGCAACGTGAGCGAAGCTCAAGCACCATTGAGGGCAGACCCAGCCTCGAGCCCTCTAGGTGCGCGAGTGATGGGCTACTTCTACATGCTGGTCCTGTTCCCAGGGACTTGTCTCAAAGCCTCGTGCAGTGCCGAAGTGTGCCGCTCGAAGGTCAGCACCACGAGCTTCACGGGCATGGCCGTCATATCAAAAGCTTCTTGGCGGTAATGCGCAGGCGTGAGACACACCGAAGCCCGTCGAATCGTTTAGCCCCGAATTCCTGGCTGCTTGAGGGTTGTTGGTCCGGTTGTGGCATTTTTTAGCCTCACTGAGATAATCGGATCACGTGCGTCGACGGAAGAGAAGCTGTTTTGGAGGCAGCTTCCGACAGCGGGTGATGCTCTGATCTGGAATCATGCCACTCTGGGGATCTGCCAGATCGTTGCTGTCTATTCTCTTCACGATAACTGGTGCACTAGCTCGACGCTTAGCCAGCTGCTCGAAGCCGAAGGGTCCATGGGTCTATGAGAAGAACACTCCAGGCAAGTGCGGATACTCTGCAGTGGCCGAAGCATCCTTGGCTTCTGTTGCATGGCACCCAGATCGGCTTCACTAGTTC